ATTATTATTAATATTATTATATCATCGCGTTATTTAGTACCTACGGTGGTATGATATATTATTTTTATACAGACTACAGAGTGTATTGTGATTTGTAAATATTTGACACTTTTACATTTTACATTTTACACATAGATACCTATTACATGTCAATAATTCTACGTGATGCACACTGTATATAAATATAAATCTTGCGTTACATTTCCTTCTGTACACATTGTATTATTAATATGATATATGATAATATCATTGAATGCAGTATCATAATATTTTTTTATTCTACCGCCAGCGGAATTCGAACGCAAACTCATCACGTGAACGTGGCACATGCAACGCGTGAACCRGGGCAAAAAAATAATGGACACCAATGAGAGCAAAGAGGGCCGGTATAGGTACATTATTAGAATTAAAATTCACAGAATAAAGGGTTAATAAGACAACAAAGTTTGAATTTATATTTATGTATATTTTTTTTATATTAAACTGTGTATAATATATATTGATACTACGCAATGGAAAGAGATCGTTATGCGTGATTGTATGATATATTATTAAACATTTAATGTAAAAAAATATTTCATTATATCTCTCTACAAAGATGATTACAATCTGTATGGATAGGTACAATAAAATGATAATAGTATGCTAAAAGAAAATATACTCGTATGCCTATGAATATTTTTAAAACATATAAAATGCCCGCATAATTCACTTTAAAGTAAAATATTATAAATCAAACCAATGTTTAGATAAATTTCTTACCTTTGATTACCTTGGTCAGTTTATTCAAATATTATAACAACATAATTTGTGTTGTTATAAATTTTAATTGATTCTACTAAACGCAAAATGTATATGTTATACGGTAATAACACAATAACTCATACATTTTAAATTAATATTACTATGAATACTATGATGCATCAATGGTGATTTCTTTTTTTATTATAATGATGGTTAAATTATTTGCACCCTGACTGGAGGCGAAACTAGAATGGATAAAGAWGATCAATTWTCAACTACTCATTTGCGTGCATTTACCTTTTTTCAATTCGTTTGTGCACAATTTACATTTTTTAACTAGTAGCCGGGACGACGGGATCTACAATCTTTTTTTTCCAGGGACCCAACTTACCTACCACCTTTTTTTTCCGGGACTACTCAACTTACCTACAACCTGGTTTTTCCTGGGACTCAATTTACCAAGTTATGATCATTTGGGACCCAATTTATCAATCCCAGGATGATGGACTCAAATTTCGTAAAAGAAGGTTACCGTTYTCGTACCCTAGAACGCCTAGAACCACGACTGCTTTTTTCACAAAAATTATCTATAAAGTACACAATACCTGTGTAACTCCATTTTTTTAAGTTCGTAAAATTTTTTGTTTTTCTTGATTGATTTAAAAAGTACTGAGAATTTTCATTTTTGATCCACTAAATTTACCAGCTCTAACTAAATCCAAATTGTTTCCAAAAACCTATATTGAAGTTTACGGTAAGAGCCTTTWTTCTACTAGAAAAGTTGAAAAGTCAAAGTTGTACAAACTATTTCAAATATTTCACTTAAACGTCTAAAATTATTAGACTACATAAAATAAAATAAAAATTGTACCTAAATAGTTTTCAAGCCAAAAATKTTCAGCAGAAATAGTAGGCAATTAGGTTTAGGTACACCTGCTATTAAATATGTTTTATCCTTATATAAGTAGAGTAATATTTTTAAATTCAAATGTCTTAGAAGTTACATTTAAATAAATGGAATAATTGATGATGAATGTTAATATTGTTAGCATCATCATAGTCACGTTTTATTAAGCCAGCAATCAGCATAATAATATTGTATTTGTATACACAGATGTTGAATAGGTACAATCAAAATATGACGAGAGAATAGTACAACGACCTATTTAGTATAATATTTATGGTTTTTGTTTGTTTAGTGAGTCCTTCAACCGACAAGTGAACCTAGCCTAACGTAATAATTACGACATAATATTATTTATGACATACCAATATACCTGCTACAATATTCGAACGTTTAATTAGTACAAAAGTAAAATAATTGATTTTAACGATTTTTATTTTCTCAAATAATTTTCATAATTTTACTTGTTTTTGAATTTTGAGCKTGACAAGATTTCCGAACAACTTTCAAAACTAAGTTAAAAGGTATTAACAAATAATAATAAGGAACTAATAATTTACATTTTTACAAAACAGATTATTCGAAAATGTTAGTTTTAACTTAGAAAGAAGGAAACTTAATCGTTTTCAATTGTAATTTATGTAAGCAGTTTTTTCATTATTTTTTTTTTTACAAATTACAAAGGAATATTATATAATATTAGTATACAATATTATCATGAAACATATAAAGCAATTCAAGTATGAAAATTAAATTTAAATTTAAAAATGTCACTTTAGTTAATATGTTACGGATATCAATAATAATAACATATAGGCAGGCATAGTAAAAAAATTTTCTAGAGCTTATACCAAATCCAAGTATATGATTGTCCGGATTGTCGATTGAAAGTAATTGAAATACACGTATACTTTTTAAGTTCACCTTAATCAGAAGTTTTTGGTTTAACCTAAGTCCAAAATATAAACCACCAATGCGATACAAGCCCTTAAATGATAATTAATTAAATTTGGTTTTTTTAAATTATTCATGTATACATTACCATTTATTTCTAATAAATTATATAAACATAGTGCTTTTATTTTTTATACAGCATATAATATATATATTTACATATATTACATTTTAATATGTTAGTATGTTATTTATATATTTATATTATAGTTAATAGTATCTATATAGACAATATTTTTTATGTTCATTGTTGAAATCTCCATTGAATTTATCAATTTTTATACTTCTAACTACATATRAATATTAGTTTTATTAGGACACTATTTAATGAGCCATTATACGTATCATCTTATTGTTATACATTATTGTTTTTATATTATACTACATACCTAAATAAATTTAAATTGTTGTCTTGAACAGCGAACAATTAATATTATAATAACGATTCTGACATAAGTACAACGATAATATCAGACTTCCTTATTTCACTCGAAGCTTTGGTTATTGCATCGTGAAATGGCAGTATGTAAATTGTTTACTCAGTTCAACTATTAGCCGTTACTTCTATACGCAGCCCCTATGTGGGGAAATCATGTTAAGATTCACATACACAAAATATACATTTTCCAATCAAAAGTTCTGAGAACCACATCCAATGCTCCACGGTTAGTACGTAATGATGCACTTTATAAAAACTTCCAGCTGCCCCCAATTAATAACTGAGTACATAAAAAAAATTAGCAATAAACTTTTTCGACCTCATCAATTCTGCTAATARTGCGAAATTGTATAGACTAAGTGACCCACCTTCTGTACGCCGACTCAAGCGTGGACAACTGRACACCCATATKACCTTATTGTTTTATAATTACTATTTATGTATTTTTTTTCATTTTTTTTTCATTTTTTTTTTTTTTGCTGAGTTGTAAATACTGAAACATAACCGATATCGTATTACTAATATCATTCTAATTGTAATTTGTTGTCCAATTGTAAAAAAAAAAATTTATTTATTCAAAAATAAGTTGAAACGACTTACGTCACTACGTCAGTAAATTGTATTTAATAATAAAAATAGAAAAAGATAGATTCTGAAATTTCGAGAATGCGCTTAATAGCTGTAKCTTGAGTTACGTCCAACAGATAGGTGTTTTTTTTATAACGATTACGTATAACGATATTATAWGAGGTATTAACTATTAAGGTAATGAGGTATAATATGTATGTTTAATCTAAAAATAAAAACGCATTTAATAATTATTATATTGTATGTTATGGTGTGTAATAAACAACATTAATTCGATGACTATAAATACTGTTTTTGTACTTCACAAGATTTGGTTTTTGTTTTACTTGTTTAAAACTACGATGGCAACAATAAAATGGCAAGAAAATTGTACGGCTCATAGTAAAAAACATAACTTTGAAAACCATAACTATACAATTATAAATACTATTTACCTCATTCAATTTTAATAACTYATTAATATAATACTAATATACTATGATCTATAAAATTTAATGGTCAAGGGGAGACAAGACTAAGACGACATTATCACCACCCCAGAACCAATTGCAAATTACGCAACTGTATGGCTCTACTACCATCTACGATCCWCCTATAATTTAGGTACACGCTTTAAAACAATTGTACACACTTTAGTCATCGCACCCACGGACCCACGTCCTAACTTCTAAGAACARTTTTAAACAACCCTCAGCCTGCACAGACAACAAGTGTGTCGCTTCCACYTCGCGTTTTCTATATAGGTATAGGTAGTAATAATAATATTTATATAAAAAGAGAGAAGCAAAAGGAATTTCGGAGATTAGAAATATTTTAATTTAGATAGCGAAACGAAMCTCGTTCGAAATCAGTCACGTGCGAATTACACATATTTTGTCGGGTCTTAACGACAGCCCGACGGCGGTGGCTTTGTGAGCATATAATAAAATAAATAATAACAATAATAATATAACAAATAATACACGAAGTTACAACAYTTATAATAATAATAATAATACTAAATAATACAGCACGTTGTCGCCATATAAAGTAACATAACACGATCACGCGACACGCGTTAGCCGCGCACACGGCGGCGCTGTCACGTTCTGCGCAATGTGCTGGCCGGCGGCGCGATCCCACCGACGTCGCCCAGTGCTCATACCGTGGATGGCGGATTATTCCTACCTACAACACCGAATTGGTGCACAGTGTACCATAATGGTGGTAACTTTAAAATAACGCCAACTATGTATTATAATATTTTTGATATTGTTACAGCGCCACCGTGTGAGCGGTGCGCGGAACGTTTTTACGCTGAACGACATGAGATAATAGTTATTAATTTTTTTATTTTATTTATAGAAGACGATAAACGCGGCGGCGGTACAGCACGTGTGCGCCTGTCGCGGGCGGGCGACCGAGGCACGCGCCAGCTCGGTGGCCACACTGGGCCCTCCACCACCGGCTCCGGCTTTGAGCGCGCGACTGACGCGGCGCGCTACGGTACCGGTCCCAACGCCGCCACCACCGCCTGACGAACGACGACCGTTAATCTGTGTACCGCTCTACTGTTTCGTATTGTACTATTTGTACTATTGTGCGTTTACGCCGCGTCCCATGCAGTCGTTCAGTTCAAACCGCTTTGCCGCGTTCATTTTCCGCTGCAATACAATTATTATTATTATTGTTATTATTGTTGTTGTTGTTTGTGCATAATATTATGACACTTTAACCGTTTCGCCTGGTGTCTACAACGACAAACAATAACAATATTTAACACTGTCCAGCAGTCACAACACGAAGAGATTGTATCGTTATATTAATAATATTGTTACTACGCACAGTGTCAATACGTGTGAAATTTTTTCCTACCGTCATCCGTCTGCCCTCCTAACGTATTATCGTATCGTTTTCGGTGAATTTTCGTGTCGTTTCTCGCTACGAACATAATATTATTACAATTATTATTTTACCTACCGATTGTCGCAATACCACGCAACAATAATAAAATATAATAATACTAATTATATTATTATTATTAGCTTTACCAATTATCGTCTCTACTACGTACGACTGGCCAATGGCGAACCGTTTTCACATAACGCGTGTTGGATTGATCGAAACTTAAACTTTGGTGAGTGTTGCGGACGCGTTTTTTATTTTTTTTCTATTTTTTTTTCGTCTCAACTAATGGATATTTACCATATTCGAAACATTTCTAAAAGATTTTCAAACATTTCTTTGACACGTTACTGCTGGTTTTCAGAATCAATCAATCCACTTGTATTTCCATCTCGTCCGGGACGTACAAAACAACCGGTTTCTTAAAAAAAAATAGCCCCCTATGATGGTAAATAATGTGTTCTGTGAATATAAGTAAAATATTATATACCATAAATTTTTGAATTTGTCTAAAACAAGATTGATAAAAATCGATTTCCATAATAAATTCCTGGTTTAAATTTCTATACAATCTACRTCACTGAGACGTGAGTTGACTTATCGGGTGACCATTTAACAAGTCAGTTTATCTATTGTGAACAACCATATGAATTTTTTTCCAGTGGGAGTCTTTTGAGTAAAGACAGTGTTGAAAAAATATATGTGCCCTCGTAGCTACAGTAAGACAAATTAAAATTAAAAATTTGGCAGCCAGAACCTCAAATAACGAGGATTTCCTGAAAATCATCATCATACATCATTATTTAAGACATTATAGGTTTATTTTCATGGTTTTGAATGTAGGTATTTATGGTCAATTTTTCCGTAGGTATCGATGGTTTCGGATATGATAATAACACACCACGAAAACGCCATGAAGGACAGACTGTCCGGCAAATCGCATACTGTGTCGGTACAGTTACCGCAGCAAAGGAACGCGGAGCAATGTAAAAACCTCGACGGGGAAACGCAGCAAAATGCTGAGAGAACTGGGCCGCACAGAAATCAGATGAAAAACGTCAGCAAAGAGGTATGTATAAGTGTCGATGATGTTATACAGATGATAAGAAGTTACTCTCGTATACAAGTAATTCACCAAGCACTTGTTGTTTCCTTTAATAACAAATTCATTCAAATTCTGAAATGTTTAAGTATACTTTAAAGACCATGCAATTTTCAATAACTAGAATAATTATTCTAGGTATTTGAGGGATATCCTGTGACGATACAAATTTTTTTCCCATACAATGAGATCCAATCTTTAGACTGTAAATCGTTAAGTAAATAATTTTTTTTTCGAATGATTATGTATGTTAATATAAATTTAAACGAATAGCGTTCTTATGTATAAACCATCATGAAAGAGAAGAATATTAAAAATAAAATTGATAAAATCGGTGTGAGTGACGCCTTTAATAGGAGGTGAAGTTCGAAATTGACCAACAGTCTTGTAAAGTACTTGACTATTAGTAATTGAGTTTTGAATACCTTTAAAGCACTCAAATACGTATATTAAATACTTTTGAAAAAATTAATGTTTCAATTAGGTATATTTTCTTGTAAGTCATAGTATCTGTGTTTAAAATCAAATACTTTTATTTTTAGTTAATATATTTTCAGTTTAATAACGTAGCATAAAAAAAACAAATAAACTAAGAACATTAGTAGTTGTATTTAATAATATATTATTTTTGTGTTAACCTACCCGAAACCAAAAACTTGACAAAAAAAACAGATGAGAAATTCATAGTTACTCTAAATTATATGGCGTAAAATGCTCTTTAAAATTAATGTAAAACATAAAAATGCTTTAAAAAAATATCCCGGATTTTAAAGTATCTATGAGTGCAACTTTTTAAAGTATCTTTTTTGTACCTAAATTCTGTATTTACCAAGTACCATAAATACTATTCAAAATAACTATCCGTATCCGCAATTAGAAACAATGTTTAAAAAGTATCTTTTACTAGTTACAAGTCTGCCGTGCCGGCTCAATCAAAATATAAATATAATATGATGTACCTGTGATAATAATAATGATATAATAAACAAGATTTAATAATTTTTCTTTTGCTTTTCTTTATCATTGGATGCAATATAATATGATGATTAATGTGATAGGTATAATATTTGTTTTAAAATGCACACGTGATGACATTAAATAGTTTGAGACATTCGCATATTTATTAGCTGTTTATCTATTGGTATTATGTTCTTTACACCTGTAAAACTATGACTTCTCCCCATATGTGAATAATTGTTTAAACGTCAAAATAAATTTATATATGAATGTATAAATTGCACGTATATGTAAATATTCGCAGATTAATGTTATAAAAGGGTATGTATACCCAATTTAACAGCATAATAATGATATAAACCAATCGATCTGTCATCAGCTCCAAATATAAAATTATGACATAAATGGTTTTCTGCAGATAATAGGTACAAAATATTATAATCAAAGTTATACTACAATCTACATGCATGCATACTTATATAGACCTATACCAATATAGATACCTGAGCAGATACAGTCGTTTGCAATCGTTTGTCTACGACAGCACTCGAATAAGGTTATCAGTCGTAAACGTTATTCGTATTATATAGGTAGTTATTAGTGTATTTACTATACACATAATATACCTATATAAAATAAGTATTTACCATATTATATTATACGATATAATTATGTTATAATTATTATATAGGTATTAGCTGAAATGTAAATAAGCGAGAACAGCTCAACTCCAAGTGCTAACAAACATTTATTTTATTTACATTTTCGAGACTTCATTTACAATGTTCTGCGTGATAATCATATTACAATTTATGATTATAACTTATTAAGATTATTCATAATAATTCATACTATAACTTAGTATCAGGTGGTACTGTGGTGTACAATAATATCTGAAGATCCAGCTAGAATAATGTATAATTATGATTATAGTGATTTCAAAACATAACTTATTAGTGGATTATAATAATTCACATGTAAAATTGATCTTCAAAAATCAAATTTAGATACCTACACAAACACAATTATAAGTACAGGTAACAGTTAATCCTATAAAGTGAACAGCTCTATTTATAAACTTAAAAAATAAAGATTTTATGATGGGAATAACTTAATATAAGAATTAAGAGGAATAAAAATTATAGACACATTTATACTTAACTTTAAGGATTATGTTTTTCGATAGGTACCTACTTAAGTAAGTTTTAGTAGAATCAAACATACAGATTCAAAGAATAAAAATAATATATTCGTAGTAGAAGAAACTATAAACAAGTTGTCACACGTATAATTATCATTTCAGCGAGCTTAATGTAATCAACCAATATTAATGTAGGTATATTATATTGCATAAAATTATATTACTTTCAATCCAAGTAGGTATATCACTTATCGACAAGTGTTTTTCGTAACGTCACTATACTTCATCGATTATTACTCTATTACCAATACCTACTATGGAATAACTTTATTTAAATTGAATACCATTATTTTCCTCAAGTTCCGAATAAATATTTATTTTATGTTAAGCCCGCAATCAAACACATCTATACTTGTAATTTGTAATTAATTGAAAAACAAAAGAAAAAAGGTTTAAAATATATCAACATTAATTTCTGAATAAATGTAGCGTATTATAACCTATATTTGTTTGTAACTTAACCTAGTTAATGCATTAATTAGGTATGTAAAATAAAGGTTTGTTTGGTAACTGTATTCTTCTTATACTCTTATGTATATAATCAATAATTGACTTTAATAAATCGTTTATTCGTATTTATTGATCACTCTAATTAATTAATACAATCAATGTGTTCAGTATTGGGAAACTGTTTATTGAATTGTTAAAATCTAAGAACTCGTGAATCATAACTATTACTTAATGAATTTATTTCTTAAAAGTTAAAATATAATTTTGATTTATGCCTCGGTAAAGATCTTAACGTAATTAAATAGGTACTAAAATGTATTACTCCGCCTTATGGTAGGTATTCGGACCTAAATGTAATACTAATTAAATCTCGACTACCAATGATTAAACCTTACTTTGTTTTGTATAAAATATATTTGTATAGGTATATACCCACGGTAAAATAACATAATATGCGATCTATCGATATTATGTTAATAAGTTGTTGTTTAATAATGTCACATGATAAAAACATAACGAATAATTTATCGAAATTAAAAAGTGAAATAACTTAAAGCACATACAATAAATAATATATATCACGAATTACATTGTTTTATTATAAAATGAAGGTCGATTTTAAAATTAATTTCTAAATGATTGCATCTATTCTGTTGAGTTTTCAATTGTAAGAAAAATTAGTTAATTTAAAAATTATTTATATTAGGGATAACCTTTAAATAAGGATAAATAGAATTTTGTTTATATAATATCATTAGGTAACTTATAAAGAGGTTTAATAATAATTAAGATTACCTACCTAAGTACTTTCAACAATAGGAACCTTATAACCCTTAAAACAAAGAACTGTTTTATTAAAATGTACATAATATAATGTATATAATATGTACAGTGTACCTTTAAAATATTCTACAAATCCGAATTTTTAATCAACGTTTACCACCAACTCATTAGCCTTACCATACGTATTGAACGTTTATCAAATTGATTCAACCACCGTGACCAGTCTGTTTTTTTTTTTTTTTTTTTAACAACCTGTCTCGATCACGTTGTACCGAAAACCCGATCGTTGGCAAATAATACGATCCTATTCTACTCACAAATGAACAGCAGCGTGACAACGTGATCGCCCCCGATCAAGATGTTTGCTCATCACGTGGTGTTCTTATACACGATGACGTTATTAATACGTTACTCGTAATGTCGAAAACGTGATCATAATCGATTCAAATTGCTGTCATATTTAAATCGCTTAGGAAAATAATTTTCGTATGAAAAAAAATCCGATTTCTCCGTACGCGAAGCGTTTCGTATAATATATTAAACAAAATACAAACAAACAATAATGATTTGATAATGTTTCTTGTTATGCCGTAGGACCCGATGTCACATCGTATAATAGAAAAACGACGACGTGATCGGATGAATAACTGCTTGGCCGATCTATCACGGCTGATTCCAGCCGAATATATGAAAAAAGGCCGAGGTCGAGTTGAAAAAACCGAAATAATCGAAATGGCCATCAAACACATGAAGTATCTCCAATCTATCGTTTCCTCGTMTGGTAAGGATTTTATTTTTTGGATCACTCTTACTAAACACGTTTATGTCACTTAAACGAACATTATAATAATACAGTCGGTAATCAACCACCGCCACTTGAACCCTCAGAACCTCTGGAAACCGAAAAGTCCGAAAATTCTACCGCCGAGAAACCCGGAAACTCCATTTTAATGACAGAACAGTACAAGATGGGGTTTTTGGAATGTCTGACYGAAACCATGCAGTACCTCGTCGAGGAACATAGGTATCCTCCCAACAACGGGTTATGCTTGTCACTCATAAATCACTTACAACAACATTGTGCTCAGATAATCAAAGGTATGTGCCAGTCATCGCGAAGTACCGCTTATTAAACCTATAACATTATGTTATGTAAAATATTATTTATTAATTAACTAATCGATATTCGTGTCTCGTGCTGCGTAGGAAAACAAGTGATCCATGACGTGATGAAACAGAATATCGAGCTGGAAGTGAACAAATTCAACTCGAACATGCTATCATACCTGGACAGCGACGGAACTTATGACGAAACCGGTCAACACAAACCTTCTTTGAAAATCTCGGAATCTCMTACGTCGACCAACGCGTCATATGACCAGGTGTGTAACGCGTTACATGCGACAATATAATAAAAATATACCCACCTAATGTATAATTATTATAATATTATATAATTCCACGATCGCATCATACAACATATAATATCGTCTCATGTCCATTCAGGCACTAGCGGACAGGTGCAACATGTCGTTCACGACGGACTCGTATTCGTCCAACGGATCCATGTACAAGTTCAAGAYGGACATCAAACAGCGGTTCAGCGCCGAGAACAGCGGTGAAGACTTGGCCGATTACTACGCGCCGGACAAGAAACGTCGCCGGAAAGAATCGTCTGATTACACCGAAGATTGCAGACAGGAAGTGCCGATATTTGCGCTTCACGCCAACGGGTCGTACTACATACCGCTGACAGTCAMTAGAGACATCATACCGCCTATCATGGATCACTCGCTGACCGAAAACCGTTCGTCGGCCATCGTACACCCGATATCGATTTCGGTAAACTTCCAAGCGACCAATCAGTTCAGAAGAACGGCGTAGTCCCGACGGCGCGTGGTGGATGGATCACGGCGCCGACATGTAACTGCTAGGTGCAGAGGCACAGCGCGGGGCCGGGGCTGCTGACTGAAATATATCGACACAAGAAACGACGAATCGGAACAAAATTGGCGCCCTCAGCCATAATAATAATATAATATTATGATGTTTCGCGATTTTTGTGTTATCCRCCGTGGAGCTCTTATTACACATACGTAGTGCGACCGCCCGTGGTTTTGTTTTATATTCAGAAAACACTTTTGGGCTCTAAAACTTGTCTGAATATTTCTAAAAACTGCACTTTTTGAGGGTGCCTATAAGAAATCTTACACAAGAATTATACATTTATTTTATGGATACTTGCTACTTGGATCCCATTTTAGCAATACTCGATAGTGTATAAGGTTTAAAATCGAAAAACTAATAAAAACTACTAGGTAATAAATATTGTAATTTGAATTCAGTGCAGAAGGCAACATAATTGTTTTTATTAATTACCTCCCAGGAAAACAGAAAATTGTCAGGAACCCCTATATCCCTTATCCCTCCTACACCGGCAATATATATTCATACGCACCATTACCTGTTTYGGGAATGTGACTCTGGACTAGGCTCCGTCTTAAAAGCTTAACGTTAATCAATATATTGTCGGCTCTATAGTGTTATTTTAAATGTGTATGTATCTTATAGAGTATATAAATAAAATATCATTATAGGTATTATTGTCATTAATGAATGAAACATTTCACATTTTCCTACACACTTATTGTAAATTTCTATGTATAAAACTTAAGTTTGGTTTTCTCATAAAATATTATTATGTGTGTGTATCAAAACCAATAAATTTACTATAGATTGTTTAATAATTATTTGATAAGTATATTGCCTATGAAAATATAAAATGAATACCATCTGGGCCTGCAGTCCACGCTATCCGTTTTCAATAGGCCGTTGATAACGTTTCCTTAATACAAATCTAAGCATTTCAAATTGAAATTTTCAATAAACTTCCCTTCWYTTAATAACAGGTACGTCCTTCTACGTCTCCAACCATACTTTACATAACGACCTACATATAGACACCATGTCCAAAATCTATAGTTTTTGAATATTTCGTGAAATTTAGAATTGTGAAATATTTCATAGAATATTTGAAATGCGTAAAATATTTCAGTATTATGGTAATTTTTTTTTTAAATAAGTTTTATTTTTACGTATAATTATCATAACTTCTCAATTTTATAATAATAGGGTAAACAATCACTAACTACTCATTAGAGATGGTTTTCTTTGGATATTATTGATCAATGATCATCATTATAATATTTGTGTTAGAAAAACTTTCAATGTTTCACGTTTTTGTGAAATATTTCATACTTCAAAAAAAAAAAACACTTACGAAATCATATTAACATTTWAAAAAATATTCGGATTCCGTCTATAGCTAACTATCTAACCCGCTAATTAAAGACCTCAACTCTAATAGTATCTCTGGGAACCCATCACCTGAAAATACCCCGCCATGCAGTGGTCTTAAATAGTCTTAAATAAAAACTAATATTTAATAAATATCAAGTTAAAAAAAGCAGGTAAGTGAATGTTTTAGAGTTAGGCCAATATCTAAAATCGATTTTTTCAAAATTTTATTTTGCGTTAGAATTCCCGTTACTCTTAATTTTTCAGGAAGAATTACTGAAGTTGAAATCRAAGCATTATGTACTATATAACATGTACATAGACACACAAAATAAACAAAATAAAAACACACACATCATTATAAAATCAATACATTCATCGCTCCGCTCAAAATCTAAAAAATCTCGTTGTCGTATTAAAATTAATTTTGATGCATGCTATAATATTATTTATTGAAATATAATATGTACAATGTACTTGATACTATTAGGTTCAGTTTCAGTTTTGTTTTTTRTTTAGTAGTACTATTGTTGTAAAACATATTATATATTATTAATAATATGTATCAATGGCAGTTTATGTATGCCTGAACATAATAAATAAATTAGCAAAAAAATATTAAAAATTAAAAAATCTGCAAATATCAGTTATGAATTTACAACATATTATATATAATAAACATTTCCAAAAATACAATTTGTACATATTTTATTGACTTAGTTTATGTCCATTTATTATAAAAATCAACAATATACCTAACTAATTTAAAATATAGTATATTACTGATAGTAATCAAAATAATTTTGAGTATATAATCAAAATTATGATTATCAGTGAAAATATTTATAATAACGATTACTGATTTTAAACTATTATTTCGTTAGCGGTAATCATTTACCGGCACTTTATTCTAGATAATAACTTAACAACTAAGGATAGCTATTTCAAACAAATTTTGGTAGCCGGATTGAATGATATCGGTTTTCTAAAAAAAATTGTACCATACCTGTATAGTGTGTATGTAGTATATAATTTAAGAATAGTCTTAACTGTTTTAAAAAGTTATTAATTATTAAACTATTTTTTTTTTTTTTTTTAGGGTTAAGGCTTTGACAACTGAAGTCATTAGCCTGGGGGGAACTGTAGGGGAAGGTACTGTAGGTTTTAAACACGTGGGTATTTTGGCAGAATTTTGAATGGGCACCCGTAGGTTTCTGCCATGCCCGGTTGGGGGGCGGCGGCCTCTCTCTCCAGACACCGCGAATTGCCCAAAGAGCGATGCCGCCCGAGACTGAGGTTCGAACCGGCGACTGCGTGCATGGCAACAGACGCCTTAGTCCGMTCGGCCACTCTACCCCCTATTCAACTATTATAATAGTTGGCTATGAGCTTTTCATTATTATTATTATAGCTAAAATAAATTAATAATTATACATCATAGGGGAACGGTAGTCGGTACTCGGCAGTCAGGAGCTATCAGTGAGATAGCTCGTCAGGATTATGAAATGAAAGGGAGAGGGGAGTTAAGTTTAAATTAAACCAAGCTTTAACAGTTTTCGTAAATGAATAGTACATATTTTATTAGAAGGAAAAATGCCAATGGTGGAAGACCAAAATCCCCGCTGGCTACACCACTGGGACTAATTATTTATAAGTAGATATCGGTAATAATCGTTTCTAAACCAGTTAACAACTTCAAACATATCATGTAGGTACTATAGCTTTTATGTTAACTGAAAATATTGTAATGATATTTAGAACTAATGAGTAATGACCGGAAATAATAAAAATATCAAAATAACAGTTAGAGTAGCCGAGTAGGTTAGGTTAAAATTTCGAAAAACAACCAGATTTTACTAGTTTCTGAGCCTGAATTAAATTCAATTATGGTTGTCGCTTCAATAGCAAAGCTTGCATGTGCATTAATAAGAGAATTAATTATACAAYAATGTAGTCAATTTTATTCTTTTTAACCAAGAGAATATAAAATTATACCTAGTGGGTTTTTAGTAGGTACCTTTTTAAATATGTTATACTGGACACTGGTGTTTTTATAGGTAAATCTAATAGGTTTATATACTATAWGAATCCATATATTCGAGTTTTCAATCACACTTTAAGATTAAATAAGATTACATTTTTTTCTAAGTGCTCCATACTTCAATACGAGCTATATCAAATCTTTTTTCAGAGTTAAAATTGGACWACGAAAACTAACTTAAAAAGTTTAGGTGTTTTAAACTAAAATTAACTTAAATAGCAAAGTCATGAGAAACCTGAATATTGTTTAATTTCAAAATGGAACAGTGATTCAATTAGATATTATTTAAATTCATATAATATAATAACCTCCATTTTAAATAATTAATGTATTGATCAGTGTTCTACTAAAAAACATTTACATACCTACATCTCTATTTCAAAATCCATCATCGAAAAAATTAAATTTGGTTTTAGATATCAATATATTCCACATAACAAGTGATTATAATATAGTTAAACTGGAACTAATAACAATGACGTTAGATTAATATATCATTCATTATCAATTATCATTGACATTCATGAAGGTCAGCTATATGAACTTATGAGGAAATCGTCTGTTGTTGATAAACAGCTAATTTGTAATTCAGTTTGAATACGTGTTAACGTACGGACACAGTGTTATAAAACTACACAAAAACTTAGTTTTATATTTTGTTATTTGAAATATCTAATAAAAATGGTGACTGCAAAAATATTTATTTTAGAAAAACCATTTAATGGTGCACCAACAGAGGATAATTTTAAACTAGTASAAGAAAAGCTSGATGAATTAAACAAAGGAGGTACTTAATGTTATTTATTTTTCATTTATAACAAACCACAGTTATATCTATTGTCTAAAATGTTCATTTAAAAAAAAGACAATTGATAACAATCGATTGGTTATTATTTTTTTATTTTTTTTTTTTATAGAAATTTTAGTTGAAGCAATTTGGTTTAGTGTTGATCCATACATCAGGTACAAAAAATAAATATTATATGCACGTGATATCCATTTTTTATTCGAATATAATAAAATATTTATCATGTTTATAGAGCATATTCAAACCATGTATCTCCTGGAACAACTGTTATGGGTACTCAAATAGCGAAGTAAGTCTTAAAATGAAAATAACTTGCGTATACATTAAAATTATTTTACTTTCATATGAAGATTTAATTTTTACACAATTAATTTACGAAATAATTTATATTTGTTTAGTATATTATTGTACACGTATTTACACTTATGTTATGATAACAGAACACTTACAATTTAATTTTTTTTTAAACTAACATTTATTTTCATATTAAATATTATATTTTTTGGCATGGACGAATGTAAAAAAAATTAAAACTTATCAATTTTATCATAAACAATTTGAGAATATGGAATCCATTACAATCTCATTTGTACAGAATTATGAACAATGTTGAGTTAAAAATATCGTTATTACTTACTTCAGTCTACATTTTTATTGATAAGTGATAACATATACATTATAAACTATAATCAATTATTATATGACAAACGATTAAAAGTAAATGTACATTTATATTGCAATTATTGCATGTTTACGTACCTACATATCATTATTCGAAGTATAACTTCTCGGATTACATGGTTATAAAATCTTTGGTTAAATAAAACAACCAAGTCATTAGGTATTTATCAATAATTTTAGTTATATAATATCATACATGAATCTTTATTTTCTATTTTTTAAAGTTGATTAATAATGTACGTCATTGAAATTTTCTATATTATTTTTAAAACAATTACTATATATTATATTTTAAAACTATTTTATAACCTGATTATTATTATTCATTAGTCATTACCTATGTTCTAATTTAAATTTTAAATTCTGTGCGGAGCGATAAATAATACATATGAGTTTTTTTTATTAAATTCTAAATAACTATTTTTCTAGCGGAAAAAAGCTCAACTTTAACGTACCTATAGGTATTAGATATTTTAAAAATATTCAGATTAGTTGTATGCTATTGCTTATTTATGTATAATACTGTAATGTATACCGTAGTATACCAACTAATTGTAAAATAAATCACTATAATAATTAATAGCAATTTATTTATAATATGATACAAGGCTGACACTCCGACTCTGCTTAGAATCGCTTTTTGTATACAATGGTATATCATTGAATTAAAATTTAATACATCCATTAAAGTGACCTAACTACTCAATGACGTGACTTCGTGACACCTACAACTGTACAGCAGAGTGGTTACCTACTTTTTCCATTTTTTAATACTAAACTTTAGTTTTGGTGCCTATATGTTATTAATTTGTTCATAAATTACGTGGAATAAATAACATTTAACTATACGGTTTTAACTTTTAACTATTCCCAAACTCTAATAGTCAATAGGCAATATAGTTCTATTGATTTAATACATTCTAAAACCATTAGGTATGTAGTTTAGTAGTTATATACAATTCATTGTTCATTTTTCTAATAATAAATTGCACATTTATATTGCTTAGGTAATTAAGTTTTATATGTAAAGTTAATGTAGAATATGATCCATTTAACCTAACATTCTAACCTAATTATGTAAGTAATAAAATGATTATTTATCAATAATCAATAAATTAACATTTTTTCCGTCTGATAATTAAAATGTTGAAAGTTGACAATTTATTTTATTATTTTATTAAGAATAAACTACCTTAAACACCMGTCACTTAGATAATTAATTATTAGAATTTTATTATATAATAGTTATATAACTTATAATTTATAATCGTAGTAAAACTTTGTTTCGCATACGCTGTGAATAGAATTTAAAAAAAATTAAGATCTTAAAAATAAAACAAAAGAATAATATTTACAAATAAATCAAATTCGATTCAAGCTACATAACTACCTTTTTATTTATCAGAAAAAACTAGGACCAGGTGCCTGGTGGGAACCGTTTATATACTTCGCAATACTGTCACCCAGATTTATTCGCCAGTTACATAACTACCTATACATAAATAATTAATACAAAATTAATCATGTAAGAAGCGTATGTATTATATTGTCCACTTATATAATGTGGGTACCAATTTTTACCAAACCTACTTTTATACCCATTRCATATAGTACGTGGTAGTATAACTAATCTGAAACGGGATTTTTTCCTTGAAACTAGTGAATTTAGCAATACTAAAATATAATATAACATATATTCAGTAGCATAACCAGAATTATTATATGGTGAGGGAAGTATAAATTAACCTACGTTTTTACAGTTTTCATTTATAAATAATATAGATCAGTGTCCAGTGATATTGAATTGAGTCCATGCTACTTTTATGTGTTTGAATTGAGTACTGCTTATTATCTTAATATTTATTTATTTATTTATGATATGTCAATATCTTTAAATTGAGTCCGTATATATTCAAAATGTCATAACTACTTATAAGTACGTACTTATACTAGGCAGAAAATCAGTAACGCTGTTAAAAGGAAAGCTGTAGATGATATTACTGGACGGCTATCGAAGATTTTACATAATRAGTTTAAAAATGGTGACTTTTCATTCTCACAACCAACGACGTTATTTTTATATTCGAAAATTCAACAATAGGATTTTCAAGAAAAATCAATTTAGATGTTTTGTGAGATGTAAAAATGTATAATATAATGATAGGATATATTTTAAGAGCTGTCCTAACTACTTAACCCATTTTCACGATTCATGATGACTATAAAGATTCATATGTTTCTCTTGTGTCTTTACTGTTGCCCACGAAACTACGAAAGAACCGAATATTTATGTTAAAGCATTTCAACATATAATTATTATATTATACAGAATTATTATTATTTTAAAAACATTATTATTGTTATTATTATTATTATTAAAAACAATGTAAGCAATCATACACATTTTTGAGAGACTATACTTCTATACTCAGCCAACACCCACGTGGTGTCTCTCGGGGGCTAGGTAAATTGAGTCCGAGATAAGTTTGGTACATTTTGAAAGCGGTAAATTGAGTCCCGGGGAAAAATAGGTAGTAGGCAAGTTGAGTCCCGGAAAAAATAAGGCAGTAGGCAATTTGAGTCCTAGGAAAAAACGATTTATATGCATTTAAAATTTAAAAATGTGCTCTAACAATTTCTATTTGTAATTTGTGGACATTCATTGACAGCATGTATATGATTTTGAAAATAGCAACATGCACTTTTATTGCATAAAAAATAATTATATAATTAATAAAAATGCAATAAAAATGCAATAAAAATGCATGTTGCAATATTCAAAATCATATACATGCAGTCAATGAATGTCTACAAATCATAAATAAAAATTTTATAGTGCACATTTTTAAATTTTAAATGCATATAAATCGTTTTTCCCTGGGAATCAAAATACCTATTATCTTATTTTTTCTGGGACTCAACTTACCTACTACCTATTTTTCCCCGGGACTCAATTTACCGAGTTAGGGTCATTTGGGACTCAATTTACCAACCCCGGTCTCTTGGGTAACGCTATAGGCTGATGGGACTCAACTCGAAGAACCTAACAATATTGGCTGAACAGTGGACTCAACACTGATAACCTAAAAGTATTTGCGGGACTCAATTCAATATTTTATACCCAATTCAATGTCAGCCATATAAATAATGCATTTATTAAGGGAAAAGGCAATAGAGTGTTTAATCACCCAACGCTTCTGGGCTTCGGCTACGCTTTTGATAGTACCATAGTGTACATAACTATACATAATATAAGTGTATTGTACTTTTCTACTACTGTCAATATTGGGTATCTATCGTTATAAATTAATAATTTTAATAATATATATTTATGTATTTGACATTTGCTTGTATTCCAATTTAAATTAATTTCCTTTATAATAAATAAAATGTAAATATTGACGATAGGTATACTATTATAAACTATAGTTATTAGTTACGCAATAAAGGTATAGAATGTGTAATGTCCTTTCGAAAACAAACTTTTCAAATGTATTCTAATAAAAACATAAAGTTTTAACATTTAGCATCATTATACTTATTATCATAGACGTAAATAATAACACAATTTTTTGGCGAGGGAGGGAGGGGAAGTCCCTTCCCACTATGATATTTTCAAAAAATAAAATATGCTTAGTACCTATAGTTAGTATTAAGATGTAATATTAAATTTTAAAAGCATGTTAAGGACTTGACACGCATTAGAAGGGCTTAATAAGTTAAATCACTGAGTCTTGTCCATATATTTGCACCAATGGTTATTTTTCACTTTTTTATTTAGAATTATCAAATCAAATAATCAAGATTACGAAGTCGGTCAAATAGTATTCTGTTCTACTGGCTGGAGAACATTTAGTGTCATTAATCCCACTTTATTAGAGAAGAATGGTATGCCGACATTTTATGTACTCCCTGATTTTGGAAATTTATCTCCTTCACTTGGTCTCGGAGTGCTTGGAATGCCAGGGTAATTATATTTTGTTTACCAATGTGATAATTGTATACTTGTGTATATGATTAAATAATCAATATATTATTATACCTACATGTGTATTATTATTTATTCACCATTTATTTTAATAGAATAAAGCGGCGCAATTGAATTAGCTCCCAAATACATAAAGTCAATAGTTTACCCTCAATTATAACCTTTATAAATTGGCTCCCTTTTTTTTTTAAATTCTTTATTATTATATACACAATCTGTACCTCATGGGAACAATAAGAGTATTAGCTGAGATAATATAATACACGAAAAGGCTTGATAAAAGCAGCCACCCAGTGATGACACTTAAATATTGAGATTATACATTAATTTATATATATATGAATATAAAATATCTCTACACCAGTTGCATTTTAAACGCCTTGGAGAAAATTGGCTCCCTAAAGTTTTTTTTTTCAAAAATATATTGGTTACCAAAATGTTGTTAATAATTTGAAGTTAGACGTTATTTTCTAGGATATTTGACGTCAGCTACACTCAAATTAACCAAATAAATTTAGTATATGATTCTTAATTTTAACACATGGTTTACGATATCGCATTCGTATATTTTACATCATTAATTGAAAATTTAATTGAAAGTAATTTTAGATTATTATTAGGAAATATAATACAAAGATCTCACAAGAGAAGAGAGCGCGTAATTATAAAATATATGTATGTMTTATATAAATTAAAAAATTAAAAYACAGAGAATATAAAAACGAAGCACAATATAAACTATGTGSTTTGTTTTTATTTTTCATCAATAAGTTAAATAAAAATATTATATCCAACTATTTTTCGAGGTCTATACTTATTGACTAATATAATATAGATCAATGATAATCGATTATTATAGTAGATTACGATAAATAAGATAATAAGACTAAATTCAATCAATATTTATGTATAATAAAATAGTGTAGGTAAATATATCCAACGTTGGAGACTATATTTGAGTTGCAAGCTGCCAGACTAGGTTAAGTTACGCCGTAAAAGTAAACGCGTATTGCGTATAATATGAGAACTTCTGGTTAAATAATAATATTTTATAGTTTCGGAAGCTAATTCAAATATAAATTTTTCACGAGTCAATTCAAGGGTCGAATTTAAATTTACCAAAAATTGGTAGCCAATTCAATAGTGGTCGAATAAAGGCAAGGGTGCTCATAGGATAATTTTCTGRGGGAGGGATAAGATGAAACAAGGTTCTAAAATATATTTATAACATATAGATACTAGGTTAGTATTTCTTGAAATTGATAAGTAAATTAAGTAAAAGGCTATGGTATTAAGAGTGATATCAAATATGAAAAAATAATATAAATTCAAAGCATATTTTTTTGCGTAGGTATACTTTATTAGTTTTTAGGGGAACTACATGTCCCAACTTTCTCGCTCCCCTAATGGTCATCATTTCGTATAAGTATCAGGTAATTAATTTTTTATGTACTTATTAAAGTTTTTGTCCGAAGTGATATATTATTATTATATAATATAATAAAGTAGTATATTATTCTAGTAAGTACTAAGTAGTACTATCATAAGTTTTAACGTATGTAATTAATTAAACAAAATATAAAATGTTCACCTATTTCTGAATTCATTGTTTAAAATGTCATATTACCATGTTGATTCACTGTGAAAAATAAACGGTCATCACTCATCAGCCATATTTTTTTTGAGAGGGGTTGCCTATACTAATTTTACTCAATCAAGTATTAATATTTAATACTAAATATAAGTAGATACCTACTTAATTTAGTACTAAGTAGTATAATTGTTGTAACAGGTAGAGTATACATTTATGATAAAAAATCATTTGCCCTCTCTCAAAAATTCTGCGATCGCTTAATAAATTGATAAATACTTGTGTTGCTTAGCTCAGTTAAATGTATTTATTTTTTATGATATTAAATTTAAAATCTATGATGAATCATCGCAATCAAATAAATAATGCTGAACAAATATTTTTAATTATTATTTTAGTAATACAGCCTTATTTGGATTTTTAAATATTTGCGACCCAAAACCAGGGGAAACTGTTGTCATTAGTGCTGCAGCAGGAGCTGTAGGTATTCACGTGGGGCAGATTGCAAAAAATTTAGGATGTTATGTAATTGGTTTTGCTGGCTCTGATCATAAGGTTAAATGGCTGAAGGAAGTTCTTAAATTTGATGCAGCGTTCAATTATAAAACGAAAGATGTCAATGCAGCTCTTCTAGAAGCTGCTCCACATGGTGTAGATTGCTATTTCGATAACGTAAGTAATCAAAAAAACTAGAATTTTATTTATATAACTAATTTTAAATAAAGTATTTATCACAAAAAATGTAACCATCGATAAAAACAATATTAAATATTATCGTAGTAAAACTACTAAAACTGTCAGTGGCGTATTTTTTTTTGGGGGGGGGGAGGGGATCACCCAACTTAAAAAAATTAGGCCAAAATATTATATTTTTACCACCGAAAACTGTATTGATCATAATTATAAATACTTAGGTATGTGTTATAAATTATTATAAATTATAATAATATACTGCAGCTATGCAATTATCCTATTAATATTTTCATTGAATACTATAAATACCTGTGTACTATTAATGTAATAATGTCTCATCTCATGTAACTTTAATGCCGTAAGATCTTATTATTGCTGTTTATGGTTATAAATAGGTATAGCTTGTGCTCTAGCCTCTTGTCTAAATTAATTGATTCCGATACGAGTACCTACTGCAGATGCAATGATTGAGTAAAGTTTCTGTGTTCTATATTATTGAGTCAGTTTACTCAGTTTTCTTGTCTCTCCATCAAACAATAACAAATGACAAATCATCCTTTCCTTTCTAGCATAGTAATTTATCATACACATTATTTAAATAAATCATTTCATGATAAAGATGGTCACCTATCATTCCTTTTCTGTTTATCTATTATACTATTTTCTAATATGTTTAAATGTTGCTTGTATCATCTTTATCTAAAACCATAGTTTTAATAACTTTTTATTTTTATTGATATATTTAACTATTTAAGGTACTACTTTTAATATTAGTCATACTCGTAGATAGTTATTATTTATTTTTTTAATTGCTTCTAACTCGACAACTTTTTTCAATAAAAGGCAATCATAGATCTCAAAAGATTGAGAAAAATGATTTCTATTTAAACGTCAAACATGTTTACTGCAGTTATATTTATTGATTAATAATCAAATTATAGGTTGGAGGCGAATTCAGTAGTGCAGTTATCTATAGAATGAAAAATTTTGGACGTGTTTCGGTTTGTGGTTCAATTTCATCGTATAATACTAATCCAAAAAATTTACCAAAAGGTATAAATTACATATTTTCAGTTGTTATTGTCTACAGACTTAAACATACAAATTATTTTTTTAGTGGCAATGTTGCAACCAGCGATTGTTTTTAAGCAACTAAAAATCGAAGGTTTTATTGTTAGTAGATGGGCAGATAAATGGCAGAGTGGTATTGAACGTAATTTAAATCTAATAAAAGAGGTAAGCTTTTATTTAAATATTCATAGCATTGTAAATACTTCTGATTTTTTTTTTTAAGGGCAAACTTATTTACCCGGAATACGTTGTTCAGGGATTTGAAAGTTTACCACAGGCTTTTATTGATATGCTGAATGGAAAAAACATAGGAAAAGCTTTGGTCAAAGTTTAAATATTAAGAACTAATTTTAACTCCGAAAAGATACACTACAATTATTKTTAGACCCTGTGTATTTAGATATAAATATTACTACTGACATATTAATATAATTTATATTCTAAAAATACACATTATAGATACCTATACAAAATTATTTACTATAGTTTTTATTAACTAAAATTAAGGTTTTTAAAATGTAAGAAAAATTACCCCGAAATAAAAAGTATGCTAAAAATATGTATTCCCCTAAATCAGTTCAACTGGTATAAGCAACAACATTGGTTTATATAATAAAATCACAAATATATAGTAGATGTATTAATGTATTATAAATAAAACACTAAATTCTATTATAGTAGGAAAAATTACCCAAATATAGTTAATATTGACAATAAAGCGTCCAATAAAATATTAACCAATAATATTTGACTTAATATGTTAGGTTCTACCTAAAAATCTACTAATCATTAATTTTTAAGTTAGGATATAATCATGTTTTAAAAAAACCCAGGTTTGACTATATCGACTAGGTAGTTAATTATTATTTCGTTTTATTATTTTTTAGTTCGGACTAAATGTAAATATTGATAAATTATAGCATGACATATTAATTAAATAACTATATTATCAATTTATTGTGTATTCATTCGTTCTTGATAAATTATAAAATAAAAAGCAGGGACAGATTTAATTTTAAATTAACAAAAAAAAAAAAAACTATTATTCCTCTATTTTATTTTTATTAAAACTTTAATAATAGACAATGGTATATATTCATAGCAAAATTACTATCAATTAATTTTAAATATAAAGTATAATGTATAATAAGAATTTTTAAATTATATCTATGAGTTACAAATAAATTAAATTAAATATAAAAACCTCTCCCAAAAATATTTTATGATATTATTGTAATTTATTTTACTAAATTTTGAAGAAACAATTGGATTTTAAAATGTAATCGTGGGTATAAATTATAATTTTATATTTTAAAAATTTYAAGTACTTGGGAATAATATTTTTAAATTACAGCAAAACAAATAAAATCGTTACCATTCATCTTTTAAACATTTAATTTCGTCCAAATTTTTACTCCAAATGCTTATGAAAAAAAATCATGCATATGTATTTTTAATATATTTAAACTTAACTCCAATTATAAGTATAAAAGTTTGTAAATAAGAGCCTTCTATTAAATTTCCAAGATTTTTGACTAAGCGAATAAAATTATATTAATACAGTTATAGAATAAAAAAATTTGAAATTTGGAATTTAAAACTCAGTATTCCAAAATTTTCATCAAGTATAGTGATCAATAAACATAAGTTCTAAATTTCAAGAATATCTACGGTTATTTGTTTTTAAATGAGAACAAAACAAGAAMATTTTTCCACGATAAATCGGGTGATGAATATCCACCAATGTTATAAAAATTTGAACTTCAAATAACGCTATTAAAAATGTAATTTGACTTTCCATAGATTTTTTTTTTTGTTTAAGATAGACAAACATATAAAAATCTTGTTTTAAATTTTCAAATCTTAGATATAATCAGGACATTTTATAACTTAAAATAATTTACAAAGTTTTGTAATTTTGTCAAAATAATAAGACCAGATGACGCTCATTAAAAAATATCGTTAGGTTAGGTTAGGTGGATTTACACTCAACTTTTTTTTTTACTTTAACTAAACTCTTATGCGAAACTTGTACTTCTTGCATTTTAAAATTTTTAACCAAACTAAAATGTGTATTATCGATATTATTTAATTAAAAAAAAAAAAATTAATAAAAATCGAAAATTGTATATTATGTTTATAAACCACTCAACATGAGTCAAAATATTTTGAACATTTTATGATTCCCATGTACACGTGTATAGAAAATGCTTATATCAACACTCATTTTTTTTAGAATTAACCAAAAACCATAAACGATTTATCAAAAACTGTTTTTGCGTCATAATTCCCGCTTTTCCTTGATTTTTTATTTTTGTATTTTTCTCGGCACTTTTGAAACAAATGTGAATTTTGCCCTGAATATCAAACATACTGAATAGATTCATCAGAGGGGATATTGAACACTGAAGTTGAAAATTTAATCATTATATCGACTACTTATCGTGTACAAAGACGCAAAAAACACATTATTGATCATCGTTCCGCTCAAAATATTTTATTAAGGACCGATTAAAATTGATCAATTTTGTTTTCTGATGTAACTCAAAAACTAATAACTTTTAACCGTAGATACCTAATTTACACGTTGAGTGCCTCATAGTATTTTACATGCGTAATTCAGAATCTGCACGAAATAAAATTGTTCTCTTGATATTGATATCGTCTTCCTGCGCATTGCGCAATATGGTTTTTTCCCGATGCATACCTACCTGTTATTATTATTTAATAATTTAGTACTTGAATGATTAATATATATAAACAATTTGCAATTAAATTTTATACCAACAGCAATGCGCCAATGCATAGTATGTATACGAATTATTACAACATTACATTAATTCCTTGTATTATTGTCATTTATCAATAAGAAAACTAATTATGGAAGTTATACTATTACATTATTATAACATTAATAACTCTATAACTGTTTATTATAAGATGTATAAAAACTTAAGCTATAAATATAAACAATCGTCGCGGCGTCGATGTTTTTATTGACAATTTCCTGTGGAAAAAAACCATTACCATTAGTTAGGTAAAAACAAACGAAACAAAATCCAAATATACCATTCAAAAGTAAACATTTCACTGAATAGCAATGGTTAAAAATAAAAGCATTGCTCTGATAACCAAGTGAATAATAAAGCTACTAAGATGCTTGTACTAATAAATTATAATCTACTGGTCGACCGAACTAAACGTGATTTAAAGAGAAAAAACCGCGAAAACTATTTACAACCTCCTTGACTACCACTTTTGTGGTACAATAAATCATCTGACTGATAATGCATCGAATATTTTTTCTTACTGTTTCTTATCTACATTATTGATTACCATAGTCCATAACCATTTACTATTTAGTATTTTAGCCTTTACGGTAAATTCCGAGAAGAGTATATTATCCTTATTCTTTTTGGATAATTTGATTGTGAATTGTGATATGAGTCTCGATGGAGCGTGGTGGCCGTTTGTATAATTTGTGCTCTTAATTTTTCATCAAAATAATTCGTTTATTGTAAAAAATGTTTGGAAGAAGCTTGAAGACAACGAAGAGGCTTCTACATCACCCCACTTCACTGTGTACCGTCGAGTATCAAAGGTCGCTGAAGAAAAATTATGGTTAGTGTTAAATATTTTGTGTTTTGCAATATATTATTAAACACGCTTACGACGCGTGCTTAAATTCAATTAATTTGTGTTAGTTTTGCAACGACAAGTGACAATAAATTTGACTTTTAAATCTCATTAATTTATTACAAATATTTAACAATACTTCACGTAGTATAAGGCTTAGTGTGGTTATTAGTTTATTCGTACCTATTAGTTTTAACTGTTATTTATTATTATAAGTGATAATAAGTAAGAATTTTTTTTTTTTTTGTTTTTTATAAATATTTGTTATTGTACAATCTGTTCAAATAAATGTAGAACAATAAGTAACGTGATGTTTAGAGATAAAATAAAGACATGATTCATAGAAACCTCCCAGTAGAGGAACTTTATTGAAATAATTTAATGGATAATATTGTTCATCCTTTGATTGAGTTAAGTAAGTACAGTATTTTTCAAATCCAAAAAACAATAATTTAATATTTCCTTTAGGTAGTGTAAGATTTATTTGCTTTTATTGTTTTAGGTATATGAAAAAATATAGATACCTAAACAATTTACATGTAGGTAGGTACCTAGGTGTATTTAATTAGTTAAAAATAGTGGCTGTTTACATTTTGAATTTTAATAGCTACCTACTCAATATATTTAAATATTTTTAAGCATATAAAATTTTTGATTTTAAATAATATGTCAATTTTAATGTATTGTATTGTATTTTTTTATATTGCCAGTGGACCAATTGTTTTCTCTGACCTACACGAATCATTTTGAATTTACGTTTCACAAAACTAACCTGGTGTTATTACTTTTAATACTATAGTGCATTCAACTATCATCAAACTTTATGTTAAGAACATTACCTATGTCCCTTTATTGGCTATTTTATGATATTGTAATTTTCATACAATTTATAAACATTTTTAAACTATAATAATTTATATTTACACACTCATAACTTCCTTAAAAATTAAAATATCATAAAATAGCCATCGTAGAGACACAGATAATGTTATGTGGAACATAATGTTCACATTATGAGACAATTCTATAGGTGATAATAATATTATATTTATTGCCTAGATCATGACTTTTTGAGGTTTTGTCAAACATTTCTAAGATGAGTGCCCAAAATACGTTATTGTAGTAGTATGACAAACGGTTTTATGTTATTGCTGATTTATTGAAATCTTGTTTTATACWTTAATATTATTTATATTTCCTTAATTTCTTTCATTGGAATTAATAGATAACAGCTTGATAAATTTAAAATATCCATACCTGTATTATGCATTCTTAATGGTATTGATTTGTTAGGTTTCAATACCTAACAAATCAATACCATTAAGAATTGATCTCCAATGAGTTGAGTTGGGCATATGTTTTTTACAATAATTGCAGCTTTGCAGCATAATTATAGATTTATCCTATTCTTTTCTCATCAAATATTTAAAATAGGTTTAAAATGTGTTTTTAGACAAATTAACAATTAAAAATTGTAAATTTAAGTCTGGAGTGCTTAAAATATTGAGCCACGTGTTAAACAAAGGTTTGTTTCTTCATTCACTTTTAAATGGTTCCCTGGATGCTCTAAATCTTTTTGATAGAGTCTGCTTTAAGGTTCTATCATACCTTACCTGTTTAAATACATTTATTTATCATTTAAATAAAAGTTGTAATTCATATTATCTTATATTAATTATTTTTCTTCAAAGAATTAGAATATAAAAAATATAAATAATGAAAATTGAAATTTGTTATAAACTTAAGAAAATAAATATGCCATAAAATAGAATCCAACCATCATTCGTTCATATGCAAAACAAAAAATTAGCATGATAATTACACTTACATAAAATATAATTTTCATTTTTCTGTGAAGGCATAACTAAATTAAATTGCTGTTTACCAAACCGGTCAATTTTATCATGGCAGTTACCTACTATATTTTAATTATTAAAAAAAAAGCTCAATATTTTATTACATAATATGTAATAAAATACCTATGTAAAATCAATTAGTTGATCAAATATGTAAAAGATTAACATACATAACATTAGCACAAAACAAATTTTAAAATAGTTATGTTTATTAATGTAAATTGTATGCACAATAAAAAAATTATTTTTTCATATAATACATGTATGAAAATGTATGATGCATATTATATATTGTATACCTACCATATTATGTTCATAATCCATATCATAATATAGCCTGTCTATCTACCTATTTATTATTTAAGCAATTTTATTTAACACAATATATTTTTAAACCAGATCATGATATTATGTTAATATTAAATATAATTAAAATATAGTAATATAATGCTGGTTCAGTTTATATAATTATTCTGACACCTTTATATTATATCGTTTATTAATGATTCACTTAAAATCATTATAATTTCGATAATGATTCATGTTTTTCTTTAAGTTCGTATTCTAAAAAAGAAATTTATGCCCAGGTATTGCACAGAATAGGTACATTATTTTGCATACAATTCATAAATTGGTGTTTGTTTATCTAATTACACAAATACATCTATACATTACTTAATATACCCACTTGCCTATCACAAAGTGTAATAAAATAAACTTGGTGTGACTACTGTGACTATTTAATCTATTGTGTGTTGGGACCACGTATTCGTCATTTCTAATTGGTTATTGATTAATACTTAAAAGTCACATGTTTGATTATCTTTATGCCATTGAAAAATTATGATTATGTAAAATGGTAATAGCCATTGTTATGTGAATATCTATAAAACATATTATTTCTATGGACAATAAATATTGTTGTTAATCAATATAGGTAATGAAATTGAAACACATTACGTCGTATTTTATAGTTRGACAATTATAATTAAAAATTAAATTAATTTTGATTTTTGCTATTAGGTATTTATAAATATGTACTGTGTTATACTAAAGAATACCCCTTCTATTTTTAAAGTACTTCGAGTCTCCTACAAAAAACAACTTTCGTATATTTCAGGAAGTCATCAATTCCATCTTACCTAATGCAAATTTCATCATAATAAATATCACAATCATATAACATACTATCTTACTGATTGTGACTTAATTCCGATGCTTATGTAATTTTAAATTAAAATTAGTTTAAACTGTTGTAGTTTAAGAGGACGCTACACCCGCATGTGTTGTCTCCGTCTTACAAGTGCTTAACATTGCAAAAACTGTTTCGCGCGGGAAAGAACCGAGAAAGTTACAGTTATAACTAAGAAACGAAATTTTCACCACATAAAAAGGAGAATTTTGTCTGTGCAATATTGTTTTTATTTTTTCGATATCAAAACTACAAACAAAGTTATTCATGCTTAAAAAACACAAAATTAATATATTATAAAACAATAAGAATTTTTTTTGTATAAGTGATATCGAAAAAATAAAAACGATATTGCACAGACAAAATTCTCCTTTTTATGTGGTGAAAATGTCGTTTCTTAGTCATAACTGTATCTTTCTCGGTTCTTTCCCGCGCGAAACAGTTTTAGCAATGTTACGCACTTGTAAGACGGAGACCACACGTGCGGGTGTAGCGTCCTCTTAAGAAAATCCATTAAACCAAACCCGCATACGTTACCTAGTTGACACTTCAGTACAAATGTACAACAATTAACAATATAAAATTTTGTAATTTTAATATGCTGATAACTTGCTTTAAAATTAAAATGTTAATTAAATAAAACCCTTCAAGATTTCATAGATGGTATTTTTACGTTCAGTAGGTCAATTCACTCTATTATTAAAACTAACCATTTAAAATTGGTTCTGCTGAATGTGATTACGCAAATTGTGTTATACGTTTATAAGCGGGTAAAATCCTTTATTATGGGGGATCGATCACCTCGCCACCTCTAAAAGCTATGTGATGTTCTATATTTCTGTCATTATAACATATAATATTTGGTATATATTCATAAAACAATATTAATATTAGTCAAGTTTTTATTAAATAAGGACGTTTTTTAAACTATTTATGATGTATAATGTGTGGCTTGATGTGACCCAAAATATGTGAGTATAGACTCAGTTGGTCAGTTTCGTACACGCCGACCGGCATTGCTAGCTCCTGGATGGGTGACCACCCTGGATTTTAGCAACAAAATATTCGCCATACATTCATACGTGTTCCAAACCAACCGTTCTCCCTACAAACAGCTGATGCCCATAGTTGCCGGGCTTAGGATCAATAATTTAAAAAAATAAATATGTATTTATAATTGTATAATGTAAATATTCGACCTAGATTAGGTATCCAAGTGTACTGTAGGCTACAAAATATGAAAAACTATTTAAGWATAATATATAAAACACCTATAAACAAGGAATATGTTTTAAGGCTGTTTGATACTTTAAAAAAATTATATTATTCAAGGTTTAAATAATGTGTTTATTTAGCTCTATATACCCAATAGTTTAAATAAATGTGGTAGATTTTTAATTGTTAATTTTTTTAACAAATTTGTATCGAACTCAAAACTGCGTATTACACGTAACTCATAAATATGTGTTAGTTTATAGTATATTCAATATTGTATTTTATACCTTACTAATTTAGTAAAAAAAAAAAAAAATACTAATTTTAGTAAATTTTTACTTTAATTACTCATTACTTATTATTTATTGGTTATTAAAAATTGAATGTAAAAAATGTGTTGATATACATAATACACTTTATATTATACAACTAATAACTTACTGTATATTAAAAATTACAAAAGTTAATAATGGCGTTAAGCGAAAATATTTTTACTGCATACGTAAGTTTATAAATTGTATATAAAAAAAGGAAATTAAAAATTATAAAATATTCAATTGGATATTTTGATGACTAATTAATTTATATTTCAGGTTTGTTATCACATGCAAATATTATTAGAGCTTATAATTTATAGTCCTATCGATATTCTTTCGATTTTTATTTAATTTAAGTATGTATATCATAAGATATTGATAATGATGATGTTTAATAGTAAAATGTGATATTTGGTATTGAATCACAAATTAACAAAATAATTTTAAGCATTGTTATAAACTTATAAATCCAATCAATAATCTAAAGTTAACCTGAARCTTAAATATTTTAGTTAATTAAATTACTATAACCTATAGACGCCTATACATATATTACATATCAGTGATATTATCCTCAAGTATACCATGTATGGTATACAGGGTGTAACAGAAAGATATGACAGATTTGTGTAAGATTTACATGGAAATCTGTTATATCTTTCTGTTACACCCTGTATACTAAATTATCAATTATTACTAGGTTATAAGTACTAGTGTGCCGCTTATTTGAGCTATTGATGATTTAAACTATTTAAGGTTTGCGAATATTAAAAGCACATAATTTTTTAATTAATATTAAAGCTAAATAATAAATGTTTTCATAATATTGTCAAGCAAATGCCAAATGCCAAAACCAACTTAGATATAATATTGTGTACTGATAATAAATAAGATATGAATATATTAATTTATAATCAATTATGATTTGAGTTTCACAAGATGTTAAAAATATTTTTTCAATTAATTTTTCAATTTGTCTAGCAGAATTCTATTCTTAAAAAAAAATTATTTAACATATATTTTTATGTATAAAAAGGTATAAATATTTAAATTTAAGCTGTTAACATTTATATTAATATATATATATATAACATCATTTTATATATTTTTTATGTATACAATATTACAACAGGCAGTATAGCGATAAATGTCGTAAGAAATAGTAGAAGTGGAAATCAATTATAAATACAGTAATTTTAAAATGTGTAGTCATTCTAATTTTTATAATCGAGGAACAATTTTACTAAGTGTATTATGTTGTATGTACAATAGATGAGTTATTTAAATAAAAGTGGTGTGACTACTGACGTCTGACTAGTTTAAATTCATTTTCTATCTAATGTCTAACTAACTCCGATTACTGATAAGTATGCATATATACAAATTAGATGCCGTTCATCAACACATAATCTTTGCAAATATTTATAAGTACACCTATAACTAGTGACCTAAACCAAAGGTCAATTCAATTAAGACCAATTGAGCTTGTTACTAAATTTTCGAGGGAAAATGTACTAAGGTATTAATAAAAATATTAACCAGTCCATGATATTTTTAAACTTTTTATATCAAGTTCAATATATCTAAGGTGTTTAAAATGTTGACGATATTTCTTATAACATCGTCAGTTCAGAATCTAATAAAAAAATAAGAAAAACGTGGACAAGAAAATTAAAAGAATAACTGGGTATTACGAATATTAAGGTCATTATTATATACGCCGACTGATTTACTCCAAGCCTCTTCCATCACGCCACCACACGCGCGCTCACACACGCATCAATTTTATTCGCCTGATTATTTAAACATTTACACGCGGACACGCGTCATGGATGAACTATGGATACAATGCTTCTATGAATTAATTGACATGTGTACGCAATATTTGTGCGCCTGTGTGTAACTTCGCCTATTTTGTTTGTTTTTTTTCCGTAATTGTTTTTATTTCGTGTTAATTATTATATTCATATGATTAACAAACTAATTATCTAGGTACCGGAAATAACGCTGGTATTCAAGAAGTAGTGGCGAAAAATTCACGATGGTGGAGCTGGTCAAACCTGATTTATCCCATTCCCACTGGTGTAGGGTTGACTTTACTAGCTGTACTTCAATGGCGTCGTTTAAACAAGCAACAGACAGAAAACGAACAACCCATCTATACACGGAATCTAAGGGTAAATAATTTTATAAAAGTACTTTTAATAATGTTCGAAACAACAAATTATATTTATTAAATTCTTTTTTTTGTAACTAAAATTGTAGTGAAATAATACTATATGATATGTAAAGTGTTTTCATTACTGATTAAACAATTGCAAAACAACACTTGTTGGTAAATAACTGTCGCATATACAAGTATGCAATACAAAAAAGTATTGGACTTATGTCAGAAAAAAGAATCAATTGGATCTAAATAATATTATATTTTTCTAAAAATATGAGCAGTTCTATAATTTGAATAAACCTTTGGTTCATATATTATACTTACTAAATTACTAATATTACATGAATAAATTATAGTGTTAAATTAATAAGTCTATTTATCTAAAAGTGCAATGCTCGTTAATATAATCAGTTTCTRTATAAAATATGTCAGATAATAATGATATAATATTCCATGTTTATGTAATAGGATAATTATTATTTTTTTTTTATGAAGTTATTATTATTGTAGTTGCTAAATAAGGTACTGTCTTTTATCAAAGATAGAATAATGAAGGCGATTACATTAATCGCAATATTTTATTATACCTTTATAATATAACACTCTAAATTATTACGAGTAATTTATTAAAAAGAAGACTGAAGCAAGTATTTTTTGATTAAGAGAACTTCAGTGCACCATTTGTTTTCTCTTTCAAAATTTGCGTTCAACTGATCCAATTTTATAATTGATCATATAATAAATTTTTAGTAAGAATAGTATCTAGGACATCATATAGGTTTTTATTGATATTTTGATCTTACGGTGAATCAATAATATAATAATATTGTAATATTTAACATATTTATAAGTTTTAACTCACTTTAAAATTAAAAGATTAATAAAAGCTTTTGAGGTAAAAGATATTCTTACCATTAAAGCCGGTTCTTACAATGTCCGGTTAAGTTTCCATTAACTTTAACCGGACATTATAAAAAGGGCCCTAAGTGTAGTATATTAGCTCAATTTACTCTGGCAATAAATCTAATATCATAAATTTGGTCGGCCGAATGCAAATTTTGTACAAATGACCAGATGACTGAGCTAACTAAAAGTTTAAAATTGAAACGATTCTGTTTAGACATATCACGTGTATAATTTATAATGTACAAAATGTTTTTAGTTTATATACGCCCATAGGAAAGCAATAAACCTTTTAGTCTATTGCCATACGCCCTTTTTCGTTTTCTTTTTTTTTTCATTGCTGCCCTTCTCGCATTAATTTACTTTTGTACAAAAGAGTACTATAGTATTGTATTGCTTGTTTTATTATAATGTAAAGTATTATTCAAAAGTATTTTGTAAAAATGTATGATCAGATATGTTAAAATTTAAAAAATGTTTATTATTCAATTTATTAATAATTTTATATCTTCAACACACTTCTTCAGTACGTATTACGTATATTTTTTTAACTCCAGTGACGGCATAATATTAGTCATTAGATAATATTATATATTCTCCAGTAATAGCGTAAAATTAAAAATATTTTGTATACAAATGCATTTGACGGCAAACTGTTTGAAATATCACATCTCGGTATTTCGGTTATTTCTAAAATAATCAGGTCTAGTTATAATTAGAAATATAATATATAATAAATTATGCAATCTTTTGTTGGTTATTTTTAAGTATAAAGTAGTTATTTTTAAACCAAATGATAGCGTATACAAAATCTTTAAATGGGAAGGCATTAATTTCCTCGTCAATTAAATCTAATTATTTTATTAATATAAAGATATATGTAAACTATCATTTTGTAATTATAGGCTAATAATCCTAGTAATTGAAGCCTTTATGTTAAAAAAAAAAAAAAAAAAAAAAATATATGTTATATGTGAAAGGATTTTTCTAAGCTAACGGAATACAATAACGGTGTGTGATAAATGTAATTTAAAAAGCAACCCCTTATGGCCTTATATTCGTTGGTAGCTTCCAAATTGGATTCCATACCTAAAAGTTGACATTCTAATTTGTTACCAATATTCTAGACGTCTCACATCCAAATTGATTCCCGCGGATAAGACTTTTAAATTGAAACAATTGAAACTTCTATACGAAGTCTAAAAAGTGAATGAAACATAATATTTAATCGAGTATATTAAAAWAAGAAATGAACGAATTAAAAAAATATTTTTATACATATATTGCTAAATTTAATATGTATCATTAAAATTATTTATTTTATATATCATTAAAATTATTTATTTTATATTTTTTAGTTAAAAAAACTGATTTATAATATACAGACAGTTTTAAATCTGTATAAAATAGGTGAAAATGCTTTAAAATAATTGACATTAAAAAATCGATTAGTAAAAAAACTTGAAAATGTAATACAAGATTCCTTATAATTTATGGTCGGCGGATACTTAAAAAAAGGTTACTGAAAGTCACATTTATTTTTTACAATCTTTTGATAAAATTTATGACATCGTATATTCATCTGTATAACAACTATTTCTCTTCAAATAATTGTATTAATTTGTTGTAATTTCAAAAGAATAACAGTAAATACTCTATAAATTTYCTTCAAATGTTTATTTTATCAGTTTATATTGTCTATATATTCATGATATCATTTTAAAAATATTTTGCATTTTTTGACAATATTCATCAAAATCACAAATATTTACAAACCAAAGTGTATAAGTGTTATATTTTTATAGTTAGCAAAAATTTAAAACAAGGTTTCTTTCTATATAGTGAAAGTACCTCAGTAATTCATACTGTAAACAAAACAATCTAAAAAATATATCAACACAATTTTTATTTTTTAGGTACCTATATTRTAATTTCAAATTTGGAATAAATTAAATATTTTAATGATGAATGACTAGGTATTTAGTTATTTTGTCATAATTTTATTATTTGTGGGTATCTACTTAAAACTTTTGAAGTATATTTTAATATTTAATAAATGGTGAAATTTTTTTCAGTTTTCATCAAAAATTGAATTCAATCTTGTATTACTAATAGTGAAATAAACTAATAAAATATACATATTCTTATAATAATTAAGGTTGACAGTTCATTTTTTATTAGAATTGAATTCAAATTTAACGCATCCTTTACTGTGACCTACATGATTTACTAAAACCCTCGTCTCCTTCCTTTTATATATTATGTTCTGGATGACTAGGTCAGTAATTGAAAAGTCTAGAATTAAAAAGAAGAAAAAAAGTTTGAAATGGAAATTTATTTTTTATTCGTTTTATTTCTAATAAATAATTAATTTTTTATTTGTTATTGTTTTTTAGCTATCCTTTTACAAAGCAATACCACTAAGAGCAATGTCCCGTTTATGGGGTTATATCTCAGGATGTTACATTCCTCGGCAATTGAGATATTGGTTATATACTGCTTACTCGAAACTGTTTGGTGTTATAATAGATGAAATTGAATTACCCATGGAGTCTTATAAAAGTTTAGGAGAATTTTTTGCTAGACGTTTAAAAGATGGCGCTCGCCCAATAAGTTTTAACAGACCAATGGTAAGATATTTCATATTTATCCTAGATATTTAATGATGTTTGTTCTGTGTTTAAGCGATAGTGGATTATAATTTTATTTGTGTGATGATTGTATGTTATTTAAATCAATTATAAATGTTAATAGGTGTCTCCAGCTGATGGCACCATAGTGAGTGTGGGACGTGTTACATCTTGTCAAGTGGAACAAGTTAAGGGTGTTACATATACTATAAAGTCGTTTTTAGGTTCACCAACTTGGCAAGAAGACATGGTTACATCAAATCTAGAATCTTCACCAATGAATACTGTAACAAAAAGTGATATGATGAAACAAGATTCCTCTACATCCAATTGTAGTGGTTGGTCYATTAATTCCACTTTCCTATTTTACCATTATGGCCTTCTTACTATGCACATGTATTGCATCAATTTCATATTCAACTTCCTCTCACAAGGTGTAAGCTTTTTCAGTCTATCGTTTAAGAAACAAGACGTAGCGTTGTCAGATGATAGAMAAGAAAAAACTGCGTCTGTTGAACGACAAGACAAAAGTGATGACGAATGTCAGCCATTTGATCCTCATTGGAATGAATATAAATCAAAGTTATTACACAATCCAGACAATGAATTGTATCAATTGGTGATTTATTTAGCTCCAGGAGATTATCATAGATTTCACTCCCCAGCTCAATGGACTGTTAAATTTCGAAGACATTTTCAAGGTATTTCAAATATTTTTAATTAGTAATTTTTTATATCTTTTAACTTAAATTATTTTTGTAGGTGAATTATTAAGTGTCAATCCTAAAATAGCCCGTTTACTACCAGATTTATTTGTGTTAAATGAAAGGGCTGTATATGTTGGGGAATGGGAACATGGGTTCTTCTCAATGACTGCCGTAGGCGCCACAAATGTAGGATCCATTAAAGTACACTCTGATAAGGTAAATTAAAAATGTCAAACATAGTGAATCCAATTATTTACATTAAGTTTTATCATTTAAAGGGATTAGAAACCAATAAGCGATGTCGTCGAAAGGACTTTAATCAACATGATCGTCCATTCTCAACTCAGTGGTCAATAGGACAAGAAGTTGGAGAATTCAGAATGGGATCGACAGTAGTGTTGTTATTTGAAGCACCCAAAGAGTTTGTATTTGATGTGAATGCTGGACAAACCATACAAATGGGACAAGCTCTTGGTAGAATAGGTGTTTCTCAAGTTGATTATATTACTTCAAAATAAATTAAGTAATTAATAAAAACGAAAATAAATCCTCTTGTCTCATAAAAACTTCATTACATCCTTCTTACAGACTACTTTAAGGCTGACTAAATTTTTAATTAATTTATATTCATACAATAATTATTAATTAATTATTTAGTTTTTAAGTTAATGTGATAGAGAGTTTAAAGTCCTGGTCTCTATATTATTATATTATATATAATAATTATTTCAAATTAAAAATAGTATTTTAAAACAATAAAGACAATTTTTTTTTAAATATACTCTAATCCAATTTTAAATTTAATTAGAAAATACATGTATAAATTATTTTAAAATCAAAAATGAGTGACCAAAACTTATACTTAAGTGTGTGCAACTATTTTTTTCAACCTTAAAAATGTAATAATCGTTATAACCAACATGATATTCTGTGTTTGTGTGATATGTATAAATAATTAATTATGTTATCTAGTATTTTAAAAATGGTTAGTTTGGAGTTTTTTTTAACTAGATATAAATGTTTACATTTACTCTTAAACCTTCTTGATTCAATTATAATAATTGACTTCGTTACTAGTTATTGAATACTTTTTTATGAAAACATATTCAACATAGTCCCATACTAAATAGTTTATAGTTATACAATATTTTTAAATGTTTTGTGTCAATTACCATTAGTTTTAAAAAATATTTATATACTCAATAAAAATAAAAATGTGCATATTGATTCTGCATTTAATATTTATTAAAAATCTGTCAATACTTATAAAAATATATATATATAACAATAATTTAACAATATTATATTAGTATAATTATTAAAAATAAAATAAATGTCTTAAAATATCACAATTATTGCATTTGTTTTTTTATTATACACATTATTATGTATATAATTTATGGATGTAACATAAACCACTTGATTTAATTTTTTTTAAATATTTAATACTTGAGATTAATACATTAATTATTCAAACAATATTTAATGCATGTAAGTTTTAAACGAGGAATATTATAATATTTACTGAGGCTGATTATTTTTCTTCCAAAACATTGTTTGTTTGGCAATATTTGATGATTGAAACATTTTAACCATTTTAGGTTTTAGATCTTGAGTTACACTKCTAGCACCGCTATTTTTCATTAAATACAATTTAATTGATGAATTATAATAATATGAATAAAATATTGGAAAATATAACAAATATAATTACGTTTCTGATTGTGATGGTGGTAACCTTGATTCGGCTTCTTTGATTAACATAGTTGACAATTCTTTTTGAGACAAATTATTTATATTACAAAGTTCCTCTAAACACCTACAAAAAAATATAATAGAACACAAAATAATAAATAGTTAATAGTTATTATTAAATATCAATAATACAGCATTAAAATTACCTTAAACTAGGTAAAAGAGATGATGTGATTGCACTTGGAGATAAAGTGCATTCATAAAGGACTGTACTGAATGTATCTAACAATACACGAGTCAGTTCTATTTTTTTTGAAATGTCCAATGTTCTAACAGCTACACCAGAGTACATATTTAACTGTACCATTATCACTATGAAATTAATTAAAATTAAATTTCGTAATAAACATATTTACATTTTGTTATTAATTACCATCTTCTCTGTAAGCTTGATCCGACTTTGGAGCYAGTTTGCCAAAAGCTGTTATGAGTTCAGACGCAAATACAACGCTATCACTTAACGTCCGATCGTCCATAAGACTTTTCATTTGAAAACGACATTTTTCAATAGTATCTTTGTTATTTGTTGACATCATTAGTTGACCTAAAACTGGAACTAAGGCTATTTTCACATCACTGAAATTGTACAAACAAAATCTAATTTCAATAAATTTTTTAGAAAACTATTAAGTTAGTAACAAACCAATTAGAATCGTTTGAAAGTGTAATAAGAGCTGGTACTATTCGGTTGGTTATATTTATATCAGACAAGTATGGCATGACGGATGATAATAGTTCAGTCACTGCAAAACGAACTGCTTCTTTTTGACTTATTACACCTATGAAATCAGTAAATTAATATTGTGAACATAAAGTAGTTTAGTTTTGTTTCTATACCTTCCCAGAGAGATGATAATATTAATTCATGTAAACGTTGATGGTTAAGTGCTAGTTGGCTGACTGTAAATTGCAATATGTTGATGGGAACACCACATAACGGTAACATACACATATATTTTTTTAAAGTTGCTTCCAATTCTTGATCTTCACGCTTGAAAATAAAACATCAATTATTCAAAATAAAAGCTTAAAGTTATTTAAATACTAAATCACCTCAATTGGAGCTAATACTGAACATATGTATATGCACAGGAGAGTCATTGAAGGTAACGCATTAGCAATTTTACCTAAAGATTTTTCAATATTTTGTATCTTTTTTACAAACAATGGTTTTACCTGAATAAAAAATATTTAAAAAAGTTATTAATTATACTTATATAATGTCTGTGTATTATGAAAATTAATTATAAGTCATACTTTATTTTGTGTGAACTTGGATCCAAATCCATAACAAAACGATTGGAATAATGCCATGAGTGACAGCAAAAGCTTTTGGTTATCAATTGAAACCAAAGATGAGGATTCTATTAAGCTAGGCAACCTAAATATTAAATATAAACCAATAAATTATTAATCAAAAAATAAATTTATTTTAAGGACAAAAGAAAAACAAATCGTACATGAATTCAAAAAGCCATTGTAGTCTAGGCCATGTTATTTTATTTTCCTCAACAACAGCATCAAACGTAGACATTACTGTACCAATTGTATTATTTTGATCGCTAAGGAATACTTGTGGATTACTCAAACCAACACATAAATCAGCAAAGCCTGTCCCTAAAACATGTCAAAAAAAAAAGATAATAGTATCTATTATTAATATGATTATAGTTGCATATCATTTTTAACCATTTGAGGAACAAATTAAGATTTAACAAAAGTTACTCAGAGGGTTTATAAAAAATGAAAAATTTAAATATAGGAACAATAATATAATATGTAAAACTTTTATTTTTAGYGATGATGTATAAGTGCATCTTAAATATGTGTATATAATAAATATTTTGGTTTATAAGAAAACCATATAAAATAATGTAAAAACAATAGTAGTAATAACGCACATATAAGTCAATGTCCCAATATCAACCTTTTTAAAAACATATACAAAAATTACTTATTAAAAGATTAATCGAGGGGGTCAGAGTGGCCAAGTGTTCAAAGGAGTTGCCTGCGATTCGTGCTATCATCAGTTAAAACCTCGGTTGCGGGCAGCACCTCTCTTCAGGCAGTCAAGGTGTCTGGAGAGAGGCCGCCATATCCCACCCGGGGAGGGCAAGAACCTACAGGTAACCACTAGAAAATCTGCCAAACACACAAGTGATCCAAAAACCTACAATCCCATAAACCCAACAGTAGCCAATGAAACCAACAAACCAATCTACAGTTAATGGTCTCAATTGTCGAAGCTTATAAAAAAAAAACAAAGATTAATCGGAAACAAATTTGTATATTACTAACTCAGTTCTCCTCTGGGTGTGTCTTCATCTCGCAATGATATACATTCTGAGGCTGAAGCTACATAAAGTACTAAGTATGGAAGTATTGAACGAATAGCATTGGCCATATAACAACAGTTAGTTTCTAACTGGTCAGTCTTTTGTGATTTTTTTTGAGAATCAAGAGTCTAAATAAAATTAGTAATTATAATAATTAAAAACACGTTAAATTTATGCAACCTGTATAAATAACCTTAATTTGAGTTGTCAAAGAATTCATTAATCTCATGAAGCAGTTAGATTGTAAACGTCCTTTGTCAAATGCCCATTTTGCTAAAACTGGCAACAATATTCCAATAGTTACTTCAACGATGTATTTTAAATTATCTTTTAGGCCAATAAAAAGAAGTTCTTCAATCTAACAAATGATAAAACATTGTTTATAATACATCAGTTAACTAGTAAAGTTTTGCTTAATTTTGCTTAATATAATTATAATGAGCAGAACACATTGRAATGATAACACTAATAAGCGATAAAAAATTATCACCAATTACTTGAGCATATTTGTCAGAATCATAAATATAAACAGTATTGATTGCAATACTTTTAATGGTAGCTGCACGAACAGATTCATCAGTGTCTTCAATCAACATTTGTTGTAATACAGAAAGTAAAGATTGCCTAGACTCACACTAAAAATTATTTTTAGTAAAACATATTATATTTTTATAAAGATATTTATGGTCAGGTAATATATTCAAAACATACACTGATTAATGGGCTAAACCACGAACAAGCCTCTGCCACCAATAATCTTTTCTCTACATATTTGTCTGTTAACAAATGCCATAATTGAGGCAACAATTCTCTTTCGAAAAATTCATTGTTTGAGTATTTTAGGAACCAAGATAAACCTAGATTAGAATAAGCAACAAATCAAAAAAAAAGTACAAATAGTTAGTTAAAACGTGAGTGTTGTAACACATACCTCCTATGATTGAACTTCTTTCTTTTTTATTAGGTTTTTTTTTCATATTAAATAAAGAATATAAGACTTTTTCTCTTTCTAATATATCTGGATGAATATGCATTAAAAGAACACTTAAAATAATAAAATCCTAATATTTAAAAAAAATAAACATAATTATATWAAAAAATCAATTWAAAAAAAAAATTTATATATTACTTCTTGTTTTTCAGATTCTAAAATGTTTTCATTATTTTGATTACGTAGCCTTTGATTTTCAAGAATTCGTAGCATTGGATATAGATTTAATTCAACACCATCATCAGATAATACATCCAGATCAACATCCAAATGCATTAATAGGAATTGTTGATCAGGCCAACATTTATTTATTAACATATCATTAAAAATTGATGATTCACAATTACTTAAAATTTTTTGTTTAATACTTTTGCATGGCCGTAACCACTTTTCTTTAGACATATTAGTAGTTACATCAGATAAATCTTTAGTTGATTTGAGCCTGTTGAAATAAGAATAACTAATATTTTA